GGACTGGGTCTCGGCCCTTGTGGCTGATGGCGGGAGAGCTGGCTGGAGAGTTTGCAAGCGAGCTGGCTGGAGAGCTGGCCGGTCGCCTTTTGGTGGTAACCAAAAGATGACTTGTGCCTGTAGCCATTGGTTTAGCAGTAGAGATTGTTAGCCAGTTGCAGTATCTATGACTGTGTTTGCAGTATCTATGGTTGCAGAAAACAAGACGCTTTGGATCCACCTATAATCTGATTGGTCAATTTAGTCCAGAATCGTTACTGAGAGATACGCCCTTTAGAGTGAGCGTTGAGGCATGTGCAGGTCAGATCATAGATACTACATCTATGGTCAGATCTGCAGCTCTGGCAATTTTTACTTATCTGTGCTTGGAATCAACTGCAATACTTAGTAGTAGTGGAGGTTTCCAGCTAAGAGAAGGCATTGATCTTGCACGTTATTGTTTTATCAATTGTGTGATCATTTGTGACCATAATTGACAAAAGGTACCATACCTTATGGCGGATTTTAAAATTCATCATTAAAATGAAAAATATCAACCTGTGAGTGCTCTGTTGGACAACCATTGTTTCTAAAAGTTACATAGTAACTTTTTGCTGCATCCTATGGGGTAATTTTATGATAAATGGAGCTCAGGAAGTTGGATTTTTTTGGCTAGAAAGACAAATTTCACTACCCGCCATAAGGTACCTTTTGTCAATTATGGTCACATTTATTTTAAAAAACACAAATAATTAATGTTATAATAAATGTGAATTGCACCCTTCGTATGTGTATCACAGAATTTTGCTAGAAAATACACAATACCAATTGATAAGTTAGGATTTCAGTTTGAAGTGCTGGAAGAAGAAGAAAGTAAAAAATACTGCCAACTCACAGATAATGAACATGTACAGTACATGCACACTACATTAATGTATGATTATTATTATTATACTATAGGGTTTATTTATGGAGGGTGCTCGCTGGGACAGAGAAGCAAAGGTGATTGGTGAATCAAAGCCAAAGTCCCTTTATGATATATGGTTAAAGCCTGGTAAAACACTCAAGTTTAAACTAGCTCCAACTTATGCTGCTCCAGTTTATAAGACTAGTGCTGGGAGAGGTACACTCTCTACCACTGGACACTCTACTAATTATGTACTTACCATGCAACTGCCTTCTGATAAACCAGAGAGCCACTGGATCAATAGAGGAGTAGCTATACTCTGCCAATTGGACGATTAATTGATATCACTTATAATTATAATAATTTATTATGCAAGTTGTAAATGTATTATTTTTAGTTTAGCATTTGAAAAAGATACATAAGAAAATAAAGAAAAGTTAGGTTGCAGTGTTATTTACAATTAGGTCAAAAACTCAGGATGTCCTAAACGTTGTAGAGCATTTTTAATTTTCTCCTTTTTTACGGCACCCTCTTTTTTCTCTAGTGATAAAAGAACCATAAAAACTCTCTGCCATGGTGAGTATAATTGTGATAAAGTTGTGAGAAACTCAATTTCTAGTTTAACTCCTAGCTGAACAGCAAAGTTCTTCAGAGCATTTGGTGATTTAATATGTGCACCTAACTTATGAGCATATACTAAAATTTCATCGGTTTTTATCTTATCTAAAAATGAAAAATAGGGAACAGTATAATAGCATTAAGTTTTATTTAGATCTACCTTTCCTTGTTTCTTCATCCTCATGTATCTATAAAATAGATTGTAATGATACAAAAATTAATAAGATTAAATCTCACCTTTTGAATAGTTTCTTTCCATTTTCTTCTGACTACACTTACTGTTGTTTCACATTGATGGCACAGTTGCTTCTTTGATAGCTCCTCAAAAATTTTTTTAGAAGTGTGTACCTGGTCAGGTCTCAGACACTGTAATGCCAGCTTAAAGGAAAATTTTGTAACAATGCTACTTATTTTTGACAATGCTTCTTGACAGCAGAATAGAATTTTTTCAAGAACATTACTTAGGCCAAATTCTCGATAACTATCTATTACCACTTCAATATGAATACTATGAAATACAAAAAAGAAGATGTATTCATGACCAAGTGAAGTTATTAGTAACACTCTCAAGACATTTGGATGACACTTATGATCATCTCCACTAGTAAGTAGAGAAAATCCTCTAAGCTTCAGTAATTCTGAAGCAAAAAAAGACAGGAAGTTTGGTAGAGTCAATTTTGAGTCAAAAATTATGTACAATGATGTACTAAATGATTTCTCTAATATTCTGCCACTTCTTGCTAAAGGTATGTAGAGTAATGTGCTAGGTTGGCCACTTAATGCTGATATCCGTTTGTCTACTTTGTCACTAGTAGTTTTCAATGCCATTCCTAGTGATGACAGAATATCTGCAATGACATTGGCTAACTCTTTGTTTTGACTTAATTGCTCCATTGTGTAAACTCCATTAAAATCTTCTTTGCCATAAGGTATTTTAAAAAGAGTAGACAGTTGGTTAATAAATTCTACTGGACGAAGAATAACAAAATCTTTCACAATTGATGGAAGATAAAGGATGCTCATAGATTTAGTAAAAGTGTCCAGAAATTCAATGTATTCCATTTCTTTAATTTTCAACTTTCCTGCCATCTCCTTTAACTTGTCATATGAAATGACTATTTTATCAGAAAATAATAGTGCATTGAGTAAAAAAAGCCAAGACAATTTGATATCTTTCTTAATAAAGCACTGCCTTTTTATTTCATTATCTAAAATAGACTTTAGCTTTTTAAAGTCATCAGATGATGATGGGTCAATAACTAAGATAGATGGCTGCACTAGCTGAAGGCCTAGCCTAGCAGTTTCAATTTTAACTGCTTCAAAAAGTTTTTGTTCGGCTTTTTCACGATCATTTTCTTTGTCCTTTTCAGAGCAAATTACAATAAAAGGGATCCTCT